TTGGATGATTGCATTTATATTGGTAGTAATAATCGGATCAACGATTAGTTATGCCGAACGAAATTTCTATGAAATTCTTGGTGTTTCCAAAGATGCAAGTTTAAGGTGAGTCCTGCTAGATGAAAGGAAAGTAATTAATATCGAATGCAAAAACTAATGATCAAAAGAGATATAAGGCATGCCTATCATAGAATCTTGAGGAATAGGGATAGAAGAGAGGACCGACAGAGGCCCTCAAGACATTTTCAGGACATTCTTCATGCTTATAAGGTCCTTTCTGATGAGAATAAGAGGAAAATTTACGACAAGTTTGGAGAACAAGGTCTTCTTGAAGGAAAACAGGTATCATCGAGTGAAGAAAATTCGGATCAATCTGTAAATACTGAGACTGCAGCAAACAATGATGCTTTGGGTACCAATAATGGTGGACCATCCACATTGCAATTCTTAATGATGATTATTGGCATCATTGTACTTGTACTCTTTTTCATGAAGAAATCTGCACGAAGCAAGTCTACTGTCATGTCTACATCTGCCCCAAAAGAAGATGTTTATTGGTATAAAATTCTTTAAGAAAATATAATAACATACCAAAGCCTAAAAAAATGATTAAACGAGCACTCTGTGTTCTTCCAACAAATCGATTTGCCAACAATTCTTCGTCTTTCAGTTCTTTCATCAACAAAAGCAACAACAGGTTTTTCTCTCGTTGTCTCTTATCAAGAAAAGATGACGAGGAAGACAACACTAAAACACCGAATCTTTCATATTCCGAACAAATAACCAAGCACATAGTGGAACGTTATAAGAACATTTTAGAAAACCAAGAGGACAAGAGTAGATTTGATAAAATACGAGAGGAATTAGAATCCGAGGAAAATCAAACGAGTATTCAAAATATAATTCGTAATGTTAGATTGAATCTGGTTGAGGAACCATCGGAAGAAATTAAAAAAGCACAGGAAGACAAAATGGATGAAAGACGAAGACAACAGTTTGAAGAGAGAAAACGAGCAGAAATCGAAAGAAGAAAAACGCAGGAAAAGAAAAGAAAGAGCCAATCAACAAAATTGAGTACAAAGTTGTTGAACGAGGTTGAATAAATCTCGAGATTCATACTGGCCTAACAATTCCAATAATACACAATTTTCACAATTAACTGACCTGCACCTAATATAATTCAGCCATGCTTTATTTTGATGTTGGACTTCTTCTGGATGGCAACAATGCATTATTGAACTGTATTGGATTTCTTGGCGATGTTGGACGAGATCTTTTCAGAGGGGTATACAATAGCTTGTGTGCCTCGTTCCTGTTAAAAAGAAATCCTGAGGACTTCCCAGTGTCACCATTATTAATGTTGTTGACATTCTTGTTTGTACTTCCAAGAGCAAACAGAGGAGATCCTAATTTGAATACCCATAAGAATGAAGAAGATTCATTTCAGTTCAACTGAAACAAAAACACAAATAACTTACGGTGGTCGTTGTTGGTATTATTGAGGCCTGCATTGCTCGAGCTTTTAAGGAGCGCAGCAACTCCGCTTGTCGAAGAATTTTGAGCGAGTGCATTATTGGGCGAGGTCTTTGAGACTCTAAAATCTAACAGTCCACTTGTGGCCGATGAGCGTATCGGTTGATTCTTGTTGAACAAGAGGTTACTGTTTCCAGGACTAATATTTTCCTGATTTTCTTTGTAGGTGGATGACGGAGAAACAATAGTATGGCTTTCCAACTCGCTGCTAAGACTTGGTGAAGTGGATCTCATTCCTCCACTCTGTTCGTATTTTCTTTTGAGGGAATTGTACAATTCTTGAAGCTTATTTCTCTCTCTAACTTTTTCTGAGTATTTCTCTTGAATGTTCTGAAATTCTCTTTTAGTCAATTCATATTGTTCCTCAGTGACTTGAAGCCTCTCGGAAACGGATTGGAGTTTTTGTTTGGTGTCGTTCAGCTTTTCAACGTATGATCTTTTGTTGATACAGGTTAATGGCCGTAACGATTCATAACAAATGATAAATGATTGCAAGAAACACGTTATTCAAC